TCCACGTCGGATCTTGATGCCCGATCGATACACCCATCTCTGGTCGCGGTATCGTATCTTGAGGGGAAGCCACTTCGATCTTGTCTTCGCTCAATCGCAAAGTCTTCTTGATATATTCTCTGAAACTGGATAGGTCTAGATAAAATATAGGCGACGAAGTCGAGCTGGAGATAATCTTGTGGAAAGTATGATCGCGGGAATTCTAACATGTTTAGCCATGACTTTGGGCGTCAAAAAAAAAAGAAAAGCGACATCGTCTGGGTGTCAGTCAGGTACGCTGTGTTGGAGAAAAGAGAGCTAAATGGAAATGGAGATTGACGTACCGGTAGATGGCCAACGTCATCGAATTCGAACAACAGATCTCTCAAGAATCTACCATCGAACAACAGCTTGCCTTCATTGCCGAAATCCCCGACTGCTAAGTTCCAACACACATCCCCTTTCTTGAGGTACGACCAGACCTGAGATCTGGATCGGTCAAATGAGGTTAGAAGAGGAAGAAAAGCTTGTCAGATGATCACGATTACTCGTCATGGGGTAGGAAGCTATTCTTCGCACCTCCAAAGCTCCCGTTCGCATTCCGCAAGTTCTTCGTTGGACATCCAATGGTCCGCGCAAGGAACCCAAACCTTGAATAGAGCAGCCTTGCCTGACCGATAAACAGGTTCATCAGATCGTCCGACGTGTCGATACATCGCTGGGACTGGGTCGAGCTCCTCGACAGCTCTGATGTAAGCAACCAGCTTGTTGTGCGCCCTGGTAGAGGACCGGATCATCTTGGCGGTACGGTAGTCGAGTCCCTTGGGCTTGAGTGCTTGCTTGGCGAATCCGATCAATTCCAAGGACTCGAATTCCAGGCCAGCATAGAAGTTGGCCAAATCCTTCAAGCTGATTGTCACCAGTTCTCGCTGTCTGTGTCCGATCTTAAAGTGGGGTGATAGACTACGATATCCGAAGCCAGACAAATACCTTTTCAGGATAATTTCTCGCAATCGCGGATCATCTTCAAGTTCCTCTTGGAACTCATGACTGATCTGGCTGAGCGAGAAAAAGTCCAAGTAGTCCAGATGGCAGATAATCTTGCGGAAGATATCAGGGTGGCAGACTAATTGTTCGAATTTGATCTTGGGCTGTTGAGGCGTCTGATCCTCAACCTCGGCCTCATCGTCCAGGTGATCTGAGACCTCGAGGACGTTATCATCGCCCTTCTCAGCCTTGAGCTCGTTCCCTTGTTCATGTACCTCAGACTTTGCCTGAGCCTGCGAGACCGGCTTCTTTTCATCCAGATTCTCTGAGCGATATTTCTCCAGGTTTCGCGCCGGAGGGGAGCTCGAATGAGAGCATGCCGAGGATGGATCGGTGACTGCTCCGGATTGGTCAGAACTGCCTTTTCTGTGGCGATGATCCTTGGTATCAGCTAGACCGTCGACTGATGAGTAGTTGTCACTACTTGACGAAGAGTGTTGAGAGCACGAATCCAGATAGACCTTCTCGACCGAGCGTTTCCTGGACCTACCACGCTTAGCTGGAGATGGTTTTTCTGGAGCATGTGACAATACTTTAAAATTGAATATCATCATTGGAATCGATCAGTATACCAGCGGGCCGGACAGGAATTGTTTGTGAGAAAATGGGGCTATCTCTACTCACCCGAGGTTGCCGGCATGGGACTGGTGCTAGTGGTGGATGGTTGAACCGAATTAAGAACGGATTCGCTGCGGATAGAGCTTGAATAGCATGGGGATGACCAGGAGGAACGTGTGACGGAAGTGTCAACCGAGATGGGGACTGGTATAGCCGAAGGGACCGCCGTTTCGAGCTTTGGAGCTTGATCATTTTCGGCTGGTGAAGATCCACCAGTCGGGTAAATCACTTCCGGTGTCTTGGGGGTAGTCACATCAGGTTTGCCGACAGGCGATGGAGAGGGCCTGGGCGAGATGGGGGGGCTGCGTTCCGACACGGCATCGTTAACTGATTCTTGCACCAGAGAGGATCGTTCGGAGGCCGGAGTTCGGGCTGAGGCGGGAGATAATCCAGCCGAGGGAGTGTTCAGACGAGCCGATGAGGTCCCCTCACTTGATCGAACTTTGGGGAGCGATATAGAGGGCTTTAGTGTTGGTCGAACGGTAGCAGTCGCTGCAAGCGGAGACTCATTGGACGATTTCGCTTTTTCTCCCGTGGATGATTGGCTACCCAGGAAGGCAGATAACAGGCTACTAGGAAGTGGGGGTTTTGAGACACTCTGAGGTGCAGCAGGAACGGCCGATTTACTCAATACTGCGGGTACGTTGGATTTAGCTTGACCCAAGAAAGCGGCAAGGGGAGAATAAGTGGAATTCTGTGGGCTGGCGGTTGGAGCAGCCGGACGAGACGGAGAGGGCGGCAAAGCGGGCCGTGGATCTGACTGAGAATGTATCGTAATGGGAGGCTGTAATCGGCCCGGGACGGCCTGAGCAGCCACAGTGGGGCCTGGTGCCGGGACGGCCTGGGCAGCTACAGTAGTGGGAGCTGGTCCCGGGACGGCCTGAGGGGCTACAGTGGAGGCAGGTGTGGGCTGGACTTGGTACCCGGCCAAAACACCAATCAACTTTGCCGACTGCTGCGGCTGGGGAACAGCCGGAGAAAGATGAATGCCACTTCCAGCCGAGCGATGCGAAGGCCCATCTTCATCACTACTCTCAAATCGGTTCGAGATACGAGAACCATTGTAAAATGTCTCTGGACCAGCTTGGCCGCTGGTTGTACCAGATTGCGCTTGTGCTTTTATAGGAGGGGCATATGTGCCATCATTCATCATCATCCAGCTAGCTGGTCGGGTAGTGGAGCGAAGAGGTCTAGATGGGATATCAGACATTAGGGGAGTCGGCGAAGGATCGCGATGGAGAGACTCGTTGTGAGTTCCAAGCTTTTTCAAATCAAATTGCTGACTGAAGAGTATGGAGGACCTGAGGTTGCGAACTGGTATTTCGAGTTGAAATGCAGAATTGGTTGAAGGAGATTCAGAGGGGAGGTTCTGTTGGCCAAGTGAAGGAAACTGTATGGCGCCAGAGTTATCTGGGCGCACATGGTTAACCGCTGGTCGAGAAGTTGAGCGCTTGGTTGAGGCCTTGAAGGAAAAAAAGGATTTGCGGGGCCGGTCGGGTGTATCCTCACTGGGAGATGAGGCCAAAGTTGGACCAGTTGCCTTGTCATTGGAGGTGGCAGAGGCAGCCGGTCGTTTGGTGAATTGTTTTTTGGATGGCTTGAAGGACATCGTGGGATCTGTGCTACAACGAGTTAATCGGCAGAGGAAGTCTAAATAAGCGAGAAAGAGACTGAGAGGGAGTACTGTAAAGGCAGTGGTTGAAAATCAGAGGATGGCGAGGAATTCAGAGATGCGAATGTTATGGACGGTGGTTTATTGCTCCATCCGACGAGGAAAGTTAGATGTAGAATTTTGCAGTCGTAAATAGGCTCGTTAGTCCAAGTACGTAGCAGGCCAGAAGGATGGTTGATAAATGCGGATGGATGCCTATGTAGTGAAGAAACTCGAATTCCAGTGGTACGTATTGATGTTCTAACAAGAGCTGAACAAAGCAAAAGGCATGATCAGCATCAGTCCGAGAGTTCTGGAGTGAGAATAACTCCGATGGATGGACGCCAGCAAGAATTAATATTGGGCGACTGATGAGACATTGTGAAATAATTGCTTCTCTTCTCAAAGATGCAATAACGATAACGCCATGTTGGGTGGCAGGAAGACTGGCAGATGACAAGCGAGACAGGTGTGGACCTACATGCAATTGTTATGTTAAATTGGTTTTTTTTTGGGGGGACGGGAGCCAAAAGCACACGGGATAAGCCTTGCGAGTGAGTGAGTTATGTTCTTGTCGAGTTATCAAGACCTGTGCAGGAGTGAGATGGCGAGGAGAGTTAGAGCTGATTGGGGCCTTCAACTGATGAGATATGGGGACTATCCAGATTTATGGCCTGGGGGTGTATGTATTTACCAGAAAGAAAAAAAGGTTCTTCCAGGCGAGGCTAGTGGGAAGTTAGGATATGTACACGTTATGTATGCTTTTATTATGTATGTAAAGGGTGCAGCAAGATGGGTCGTGATGAGTTGAAGGATAGCGTGACTGGAATGATGAATCTGGTTAATTATTATAATCTGAACCCAAGGACTTGTTCAGGAATTAAGGACAGCGTCAAAGTGTACAAGAACGAAAATAGTGATCGCTAGGCTTCGGCAATAAAAAAAAAAAAACACAACAGCCGTATGTAATGATGATAGCCTTTACCAGAGTAGGCAAGGCAACATAAGCACTTGCGTCGAGCTCGGAGGAGAGGGTGTTGTGGGCGAGGTTGACGGTCGCGCTCCTTGGGCCCAGCTGAGCTTTGCTTACTCTGGTGATGCTGCAGATGGGATAATGATTGTACTGATTTGGATAAGCCGAAGATTGGCCGTATTTATGTATCAGGGTGATCTGATGTGATTTAAATTCGGGAAAGACCGCCGTTGGACACCAACTCTGGCGGTAGCTGGTTTCCCTGCTTCTTGGCGGCAGGTTTCTTCTACGCGCAAATGAACAGCTCGAAAATTATAAATCGTACCTGAGGTGCCGGCAGGCTGGGGGCTGGGCCTGTCTGGGCAAGCCTGGGCAATTCCGGAGGAGGTGCAAGGCTTGATGATCCAAAAGTTAATCTCGCTTGGAGTCTTGGTGCAGCACTCTCTTTGTACATATTTACAATTTATTTATTGATTGATTTTGCATGCATGGCTCGTGAAGCCGGTCAGTTGATGCCGGCCCTGTCTATGCTGATCGAAGTAACTGGAGCATATGTTGATGGAGAATGGAAAGTGGGTTGCACTAACGATTTACAAGGGAGGCAGGATGACTGCATCTGTTGTATCTGATGAAATTTCCTAACACCTTCACCAAAGCTTTCTACAATACTCTTGATGAATGGAGGAGTGAAGATACGCAGGTACAGCTAGTTTCAGAAAGGTTGTCACCTTGAGCTGGATTTTCCAAGCAGAAATCAAGGTATATTCAGGTTAAGTTTGCAAATCCATCTACAAACTTGCGCTAAAACAGTAAGTTTACTGCAAAAACGCGGTTTGAGTTTGAGTTTGCCTATGAATTTGGTATATCCAGCACTTTTTCTTGAAGGAAAATCCACACCAAGGGCGACAACCTTTCTGAAATTAGCTGTACACAAGTGTGGAAAGCGCACCGCGTGTGGCAATTGTAAAAAAACTCAAGTTCTTTGTTCGCAATCGAGCTGAGTGCCAGTAGATTTCACCCGAGGCAGCATGCTGTTGTATGTATGCTCGTGGAAATGCGACAAGTACGAGTCATCTAGGTTTTAGAGAGAGAGAGATATATATGTTTGTGGGTAGAAGTACAGTTAGGCCATTAAAAAGGGGTTTGTGCATCTTCAACAGAGTTGGATGGAAAGGAAGTGTGGTGATGATGATGATGATGATGATGTCAAACTAGCTGCATGCGGAAAAGATGATAGGCGACCCTACCTCTGAGTTAATGGGTGATAGTTTATCGATAGGAAAGTCAGGCCGCGGTGGTCTTTCAGGCTTTATCGAAGACAGCAGGGGTTGAAGATAACTGAGGTGGACAAGCACTTTTCATCGCGAGTTTCCTTTGGCGATTGAAGATGGAGGAGTCCGAGTGGCTGGCTTCCGAGTCGCGTGCCGCTCACTTCTTGGAAAAGCAACGGCTCCTAAGTCGGTCTGGTGGTGACTGTGGACGAAGAGAACGAGCCCATCAGTAACCAGCACCGAGTTTCCCAGACAGAACGTCCTCTCCGACTCCGAGTGCCTTCTGAAGATCCAAGCGAGTGCGGTGATGAGATGAGTCAGGATATTTTAGTCCAGCTGAGTTGACTTACATTTTCAGATCAGCCTGCGCGTATTTGTGAAAAAATAAATATTCTCAAGAGGAAGGTGAGGAAACGAGGGTCATGACTTATGATGCTTGTGTTATGTATGGCAGGTTATGTCTTGTTATGTATGTCTTATCGGGAGCACACCCTCAGTCCACCATCACCCTTGAACTCTGGCGAACATCGATTTGACGCGATATTACAGTTAGAATTACTACTTTTTGTAACAATGCCAAATTGCCAATAATCAATTGAACAACGCGCACGTTGTTTTCAAGTATCACAGTTACGCTTCGGCCAAGTTCGGTTATGATACGTGCTGCCATAAACATGTAACTTTTCCTTCACAATCGACAATATTTACTTTATCTGGGGAGCGTGATATGTATGCAGATAAGTCCTCCAGTGACCTCATTCCTGAATCTTGCGCACCCATGTCCAAAAGTGATTTCTTGTGCGCTTGTCCGGTCCCAACGCCGTTTGGTCTATGTACCGCGATCTTGGAGGAAACAGCAGGTCTGCTGTGACAGAGCAATGTAGAAGATGTATCATTATTGTGTAATGCCAAAATTGGTCAGCAGTTCGAAGCTTCTATGTATCGAAGTCTGTCGCAACCATCCCGATAATGATTTGTGTGGCCTCCACTACACATGTAGCCTCCAAGAGCTTGGTCATCAGCGCCCGGATTCGAAGGAATCGATGAAATCAGCAAGCGAATCGTCTCATGATGGGGTCCAATCCTATAAAGCACTCCTACACATATTTACTGCCGTCTGCCAAACATTTTTATCACGACGCGACTCTGGGGCAAGGGGCACAAAATACATAGGCCTCCGCGTACAAAGCGTATTTTCAAGATGCCTCAGCGAAGCGAATGGAGCTGGCTTGTTAGCCCTCGGCTTAGCGACTTGAAAGCTTACAGTGTAGTCCTATAGTCGGGCATAACTCAGGGGGTAAACAGACAATACACAAGAACATAGAAACAAGTTTACTTGTGATTATCAATCGAAGGCCCATCCATAAGCTGCACCGCACCTTGTTTCCCGGTTCTGTCACCCCTCCACCGGTTTCGACTGGATTCCAAGAAGAAGAATGAAGAACACTGTCAGAAATCGAAGCCGATGATTCATCAAGGCAGGTGCAGTGTGCCAAGGATTTAAGAGCCATACATATTGCGGCATTTTGAAAATTTCGAGAAAGGTTACAATGTAGACCATCAAGCTCATTCGAACAGCACCAGAATGGCGCGAATAGCTGACTATGCAAATAGCCGTTTGAGGAATCTGATACAAATATTCAAGGAGAGAGAAGAATGTATCTGGCCGGTAAACATTCCTGCTTGGAGAAGGGTTGCTGACCGCCGAGTCATTACAGAGTGTCGCCACGAACGAAGACGACATTCCAAGCTAGAGTTACACATGCATTGTGAATATGGGGCTTGGCTCTCCGAATCTGAGGACGCTTGTGGTTGAAGGGGCCATTGTAGCATCTTAGGCGTGTGGTGATGTTTCGCTCCAAGTTGATGTTCGAAATGGTTCGGTGGCTATCTTGGCATCCCCGTGTAGATCGCGCCACCGACTTTAACCGAAATCATCCAGAGTGACAGGCCTATCTAGAAACTTATCTCAAACTAGCATTCTTTGACTTCCATGGTGCCGAGGGGCAAGAGGAGAAGGGCATGAAGGATGGAATCATGCTGCTGCAATCCAAGAAGTTGGAACGCTTTTTTTCCTCTCTCTTTATCCCTTGCTGTGTTTAATCTTAAACATATCTTTGGTTTCCTTGATCTTTTAGCTCCTTCTTAGCTCTGCATGTTCTTCAATCAGAGACACCTTCTTAACTTTCCTCTTGCCCTTGATCACTCTTTAAATTTTTCTTTTCAGTTTCTGCCCACCGAAGCTCCTTTAATCTATTAGGTATGGTCATGCCTAAAAGTTGGCCATGAGTGTGATGCATGTGCATCCTAAATTGGACTTACTAAATTGGACGTCACGTTAGTAAAACAGTCCTGTTGGATACTGGATATCCAAACACATTCCAACGGCCCGTATCTGCCCACATGCGCTGCATGGTATAGTAAGTTGCCCAGTCGGCGATTACAAGACAGAGCGGGGAATGGCCAGTCATTTTGGAGGTGTGGGCTCTTGGTAGCACTAGCAACTAGGGTAGTTGAGGTACTTTTGGCTACAACTCTATCCTTACACATGGGATCCCTTCTGGAGCCGAGGAGTATTGACAGTCAAATAATAACTTAGACAGTCAAATAATAACTGATGAAATAATGCTTGAGAATGAGAGCAGCAGTCAAGTGATGATCAAGTGGGCGGCTTTAGAAGAGGGCACCACCAGTTTCCAAAATTTTGGTAGCGGCCAAGAAGCCTTCAGCCCCATGAAAGACGGAAACAAGGTCTGAAAACCACTGGTAGTGGTCTCGACCGTTTGACTTTGAGGAAAGAAGGATGAATGACAAGACACATTGAGCCCATGATGTTGATTGCTATAATGATTCGGATTTCAATGAATTAAAAACCAACTTGTACCTACAGATGTAACCAACTCAAGCCTACCTAATATTGTTTCCATCATCATTTTCATTGTAAAGGATGTGCTAGAAACAGCACAAGACTTTTGAAAGAAAAAAAAATCAATACTTGGATATGTTGTTGGTGCATCCTAACTCATCTCCAGTCTGGTGAAAATATGGCTGAACCAGTGGATCTCTTCTGAATACTAGTTTGGTCACATATTGTTGCAGAATTTTACAGTGAAAGTGTAGGAAAAGAAACAAAGAGACCACATTTTTTGTGATATCCAATTGGGCCAATTCCATGGGCAACACCAGTTGCTGCCAATATTTCAAATTGAAAAAAAAAATACTCTCCATAGAGAAAAACATTACCATAACATCAGCATACATACATTAATCATCTACATAGCCATTGTTTTAGATCCTTTAAAATACACATATTTCATTCATCATTGTACATTGCTTGATCACACTATAAGGAATCCAGCCAAACAACACACCAATATTACGGCAAAAATATACCAAGAAAACCATGTTTTGAATGAGCAATACCATCCATACATGTAATGGGAAGAGAAATATTTCAAAACAGAAAATTAATTTTTTTTTATGGCGCAAGACTGGAGATCTTGTGCCTCAAAGAATGTCAAGCTAACATGTGCACCCTGGATCTTATGAGTGAATATGGATAGCTGATGATTTATTTGTAACAAAAAATTAATTCAAGCGCGAATGGGTAAACTGAATTTCAGAAATATCATAGACAAATATTAGCAAGCTTGTCATGCGGTTTTTATTTTCTGATAGGCCTCTGTTCGAGTTGAACAAGAGCCTAGTGGAATCGGGCTTACCGAATCCAAACCATACCTGGAGAACTTTTTTGACGGATGATTCTCCATGGAGAGAGTTGAGCGGATTTCAGTCGAGAGACTGTGCGATGTCGAGTTTCTTCGGGCGAGGAGGCGAGATCAAAGCCAAGGCTGAAGAAATCTTCCGGTTTGGCTTTGTTGAATTTGGAGAGCAGTTGATCCAGTTTCTCTAGCGAACTCACTTGGATCTCAACCATCAGTTTGCCAACCCAATCCGGATGTATACATTCTGGAAGGATGTACTCGTGATGAGTATCTGAAAAGCATTCAATTCCTTCTAACACGCCTGTTTTCGTTCCAGCTCGGATTTCGACCAAGCCAAGATAATTAAGCATTCCCTGCTGGCTTTGGTCCTCCGCGGTCTCGTGAGGTTGGTGATGATCAACCAAGCTTAAGCTGTTTATCAGTTGCTCTTTGAAGTCGGTCAAGTCAAGATAAAAGATCGGATTCAAGTTTGAAGATTTGATTGTATGATGATAAAATGACGGAGGGAAAAGAAACATGTTGAGCCAGTCCTTCAACAAAACAAAAATCGAATAGATCAACGTCTGTTTTATTTGATGTTAAGGTTAATCTAGCTACTGACTGGAAGATGTCCAACTGAATCCCACAAGACTTGTAGTTCCTGGAGATCCTGGCCATCGTAAATGAATCTCCCGGTGTTGTCAGAGCTACCCAATGCGGCATTCCAAAAAATATCACCTCTTCGGGCGAAGGCTTGAATTCCAGATCTAGGGGGAGTAGAAAGGTAAGCTAAAGTTTCTCTGCCACAGATATTAAAGCTTCCCTCAACATGATCCGAAATGGAGTGATGATAAAAAAATGCTCACCTCAACATCTCCATCTCACATTTCAGCAACTCGGCCTTCGACGTTGGCTTCTTTTCACTCGGAATCCACAATCGAAAGACGACTACTTTACCGGGGGAGAAGATCTCGGGATGGGGTTTTCTGCTCCGGAACTGATGGGATTGCAGATGGATTGGATTGGATGGATCTTCGAACCTCAAGCGAGCCCGAATTACAAGTTTATTATGAAGGCGACAGTAAGCTTGGATGGCTGACAAAGCACTTGGCCGGTGGCTCGTCGGTCGGTTGGCCAATTCAAGAAAGCTCTTTTCCCCTGCCTGTCGAAAATAATGAAAGGCATGAAGCTCTTGTAAGTTAATTTCGAGCGGACTTGATGTGTGCATGTTTCGCTTTCCCAGCGTCATGGCCGATGGAAAGGGATCGGGTATAGCTCCTCCTGCTGAGTTAAACCTACTATCTCCGAGTAACACTGCCGTCGTTTTGTTTTCAAGAACAACATCACCGCCATCGAGCTCGACCGTCGGATTAGGGCTTAGGAATCTGTGGGTAATTGTTCTAGATCGAGAGCTACTTGACAGGGAATCGCCGTATTCAAGGTCACCCAAGAAGACTTTGAGAATCACTTCCTGTACTTCTCCAACACTAAAGCCCGTTCTCAGGACATGCGAGACTTGACTGAGTCTGAAAAAGTCCAGGTAATCTAATTCAACAAGTATGCGATGCAAAATCGTTTGAGGAAAGCTCAGGATCGAGAACTCGAATTTCGTTATAATGGTGGATTTTCCACTGCCAAGGTCAAATGGGATTGATTGACATGTGGAATTGTTGATGGATTCCTTTAGCGTCGATGAACTAGAGACCTCTAGGGTGGACACAGGAGCTCGGTCTTCACATTCCTTTCCGTTCGTTTTGCTCGTACAATGGTCGCGCCTGCGCCTGTATCTACGCGGTGTTTCTGGTCGATCATTGGTCTCTGATCCTTTGCAACTTAAGGAACGTTTTTTCATCGGCGGTGGTTTCATAATTATTGCAGTAAAATTGGAATCAGTTGTTTGATTCTGAAGCCGATCGTTCTGAAGTGCCTGGATGGATGGATGGGACATTTGTTTTCGATCTTCAGGGGGCGAATTGACGCAGCGTGTAGTCTGGATTGGTTCTGGAAGGCCATCGGCATCCAACCTGATTATTTCTTCATTTTCAACATTTGTTGTTTCGACGATAAACTGGTTATCGGCACCGGGTTCACAGTCCACGCTGGTCCTACTTGTCGAGAACCGGAGTCCTTCGAGATAGATCGGAGGGGATTTCAGCTCGGAGAAAAGGCACTCCTCCGGTTTGATGATAGCAATCTGAGGAGCTGAGTGCCACAGGAATGAATCATCAGTGTGGCTTGAAATTGAGGACCGTCCAGCGCTAGAGCTTTGCGAAGAACACTTCATTGGCTCATCCTCCTTATCTCTTAGATATAAATTCCAATTCTCCCATCTTTTGGAGCATGTGCAAAAACACTGAGGTCTCGTACTCGTCGTGACGGCGGCTTCCGACCTATCGGATCCGGTTTCGATGGTATCTTCCGTTTGCTTCATCGTTGTCTCTTGAGCCTTCTCCACAATCTGATCTTCTATCATATCTTCGCCAAACATGCCTAATAATTCGCGAGGAACCGGTTCAGGTTCTTTTCGACAAGATGGCCGGTCAAAGGACTCCTTAGATTCAAGGTCGCGGGGGCTCTTGGCTTCATCATAGATAGAAGGCTCTAGAGCTCTTGGAATTAATTCTTCTGTTTCGGAGACCACTACGCATTGAAATGGAGTTTGACATTGACTGGTCCCATCCTGAGCGTCTATAATACATGGCTTTGTCGTTTCTGATTGACCATACTGATGGCAAGCTTCTGCTGAAGAGGAATAGTTGCGTAGCGTAGTTTCATCAATTTCTTGCGAAAATATTTAGCCTTGTGTTGATGAATTAAAGAACTCACCAAGATTGGCAGGGGTAAGGTCATGCCTCCAAGATTCCAGTGTTGTCGTAATCGGAGCTGGTGGGGAAGGGACCGGTGAAAAGTCTGTTCGACTGGAGGTGCTTGGAGCTTCTGAAGAGACCGAGGGTGGGTTTGAAAATCGAGCATCTGCATTTATATCTTCCAAAGACATCTCAGTGTTCAACATATACTCAGAGTCAAGACGAGGGCTAATCTCTCCCGGTTCCAAGTCGGACCGAGGACCTTCCGAGTCACCGGTAACGATGGTGTTAATATCTCTCGGTCCCGTGCGTCCAACCGATTGAAGATCCTTTAAACGCTTGCAGGGTGAGCGAGATTCTTTCCAGGATGGGGAATCAGGGCAGATAGTGGACTGCTTTCTTGAGCCCCTCGGCGGTAGCGTCAACGGCGAGACTTGTTGAGGCGAAACGGTCGGGCTCCTGTCTGTCCTTTCTCGGAAGGATCTCTTGCCCAAGTTTCTTGTTTCTTCCGTCTGGACTTGAGGCGTCACTATCGTCCGGCGACACTGAGTAAGATCATCAACGATTGGACTCGGCAAGTCGGGGATGGCATCCAGCTTCCTATGTCCGGGAGGTTGGCTTGGATAAGTCGGGGCGAAACCCTTGGATCCCTCGAGAGGGCAACTACGTCCTGTTATTGTTACCTTCCCAGACGTCGGCAATATTTTCCTTCCTTGTTGGAGTTGGGTGGCCGTGCCTTGGAGATTCGAGACCTCAATTCTTTTAATCTTAGGTGACATAGAGAACTTGGGAGTATTCTTATCACGATAGTCGTTTGCGTATTGGCTAGACTCTTTCTCCAGTTGTCGCGGTACATGTAGGGGTTTATCTTGCTTTCGTTGATACGACCCTTGGTTTGACGGTGTGGAAGGTGCTGATGATGATTGAAAAACTCCCGCGGGTATGGGCAGTGCGCTACGAGCTGGGCCACTCGGCATGTTTCTGATACTTTCTTTGAATTGCTTGAGTTTCCTGAGCTCAAGCTCATGATCAGTAGATCGTGAGCGAACATCTTTCTCAACGTTGCTACTGATCGAGAGTGGAATGGCTTTTGAACTCAAGCCTTTGGCGCCGCCGGCCCCAGCTGCTACCGAAGGTTCGCTGCCGGCGCCTTGGTCAGGATCTTCTGGGAATATCAATTCAGACATAAAACTGATGCTGGCGCGAAATTCTTCTTCTAGTGGAGAATCACAAAGCCTCGCCGGCGGTGAACTATCGGTGCGTTTTGCGCAAAGAGAATGTTTTCCTTGCACTTGATGGTATTGGCCCGTAGATTTAATGCAGCTTTTGGGGAATGCCATCAGGTCAGTTTTGCGACCTGTGTGAGGATTCTTGGAGAGCTCGAATTGGGAGAACTCGCAAGATTCACGCGCTGCAGGTGTGGGATTGTACTGGACCATAGGATCGGCGAAACGAACCCTAGTGGGAGCAGATGACGACCGGCCTAGGTCAGTCGTCCATTCTGATTGGGCAAGTTGTCCCTCAGTTGGTGGCCTTGGGAGAGCTTTGAACAGATAATTCTCAGCTGGTTTCTGCGGTAGGCTTTCAGTCAAGATGCTTCTTGGTACCAGATGAGTAACATAAGGTAAAGAAGCTGTGGCCCGCTTGGAGGTGAACGCTCTGGGATGAAAATTATTTGACGAGTGACCAGATGCTAAGCTCTGGAGATTCAGCTTAGCTTCTTCATAGGTTTCTGTGAGTCCAAGCGGCGTTGCATCTATCAAGAGTTGTAGGCAAAAACAAAAATTAAGGCACTTTTTTCCCTTCAGTGTCATCCTAACTTGAGAGTTTTTAATGCAAACAAGCGGCAGCGGACTCAACCCAGAGGTCTCCTGACTTTCGAACATTCAGATAACTGTCGCTTGAGCCGGGATGTGGGATCAGAATCTAGTGAAGCAGCCTGTTTGAGCGTCGTCCGTTTGAATTGCGATCGAGGGCCTTCAGACCTACTTGGGCTTGGAGAGTCCCCATGTTCGAAATTCAAGAGCTTCTCAGCTTGGTGAACCAATGTGCGGTTATGAACTGATGACAGAAATTTCGAAATTTTGCTTTTTTGGACTTGGTGGGCTGGATGTACTTGAGAATCCTGGGGAGCTTTTGTCTGTGTGTGAGATTTCCTAGGTAAAACAGTAGGGAAAGTTAGTTTGGCTTTCAAGATCAGAGAAAAGGAACATAAGGTACCCGAAATTGGCCGCTCTGCCAACACTATTTCCTCGGGATAAAGACATTGTGAAGGACCGGTGAAGAGAAAATAATGCCAAGCTTGATAAAAGAGACGAAATCAAGAGACACTTATATCGCACTGGCGCCCTCGAGCCAGTGGGTAGTAGGAAAAAGGCTCATGATGGCAACGGAGAAAGACTCCTAGAGCCAATGCATCAATGACAAACAGCTCACCCATCACCTGGTGACCGAAGTCGGATGATGAACGAAAAAATGATAAGATTACGAGTTTGAGGAGACCTATTTTAGAATTTCCCAGGCCAAATGGTCATTATCAGTAATAGTTGATTAAGACATAACACATTTCCTTCATGAAATAGTTCTGCAAATCAAGCAACCAACATCTAGGGTCTTTTGAGCGCTTCGATTGCATACATGTTGTTCACTGGAATACCTCCTTCGATCTTGGCGACTCACCAAGGTTATCCAGCCGTGATTCATCTGCCGCAACGAAGTTACGTTTGGTGACCTCTTTCATAAGCTCAGGTGAGCCAAATGATGCATCCAAATGAAAGTTTTTACTCATTCCGTTCTGTTTCAAGTATCGAAGGACCACTGGCACCACGTCACAGCCCCAAACCTCTCATAATTTCTGGCGAACTTGAAAGAAGTCCTGCACCGTGCTTGTGTGGTGCAAGAACCCTCCGCCATGCTGATCCATAAAGCCGGACATCAGGAGACTGACAAATCTAAAGCTCGCGAAGTGAATGAAACAGCTGTTTGTCATAATCGTATATGTTTCCTTGTGGAAGGAAGTCAAAGAACAAGATTAGCAGCACAAGAGAAAGGGAAACAGTCATTGAAGAAACATGTATGTGGGTCTATGACTATGAGGGCAATAATAATGGACATGGAGAGTTTCAGCATAGCATACATAAAGGGTAAAGACTGAAGAAATGAAAAACATTCTGCAGAGTGATTGGTTCTAATCCACTCTAGACCACTGAAGTCGAACTCAGCACTGTGGCTAACAGGGTGCTATGGATGGTGATCAGGAGGCCTGATTCCTGAAGACTGGAGACAGAATGAGCTGAGTGGACTCCAGAACCCCTAACCCTGAACACCAACTTTGAACTTGTAGGTCCTTTTTTTTTTTTCTTGGAAAAAGAAAATGAAGGGGGGAGGGGGATGTGTATTTTCCTATGTACCAAGTAAGTAGATAACATCATGACATATAACTGTTTTTTTTAGTTGTATGGATTCCTGAGGGTGCAGAACAGAAAAAGCTTGAAAGACTTGGATTCGCATTACAGTCCATTTCTTTTCGATTAAATACTTTGCTCAAGTTAAGGAAATCTCTCCACCTTTCATGTATTTATTACCCAAGACGCACATGCAGACATCACCAATTGTTTGATCTTCCCCAAAGCCTTCTTTATAAGAGGAAGAGAAATCAAATGAGAATGATCATCATCATCAAAAAGATTTGAATGAAAGAAAGAAAAGAAATGGACAGGAAGAAGTGGTCTATGTGGGTAGGAATTGAGGCGAGTTAAGTAAAGATGAAGAAGAGTTAGGTCAAGTAATTAATGAAGTGTGTTGTTGATATTATATCTAACATATTGTAAATAGATAAATAAATTTTCTTGATCGGCTAATCAATCTTTGTTTCTTTAATGATCAAGTTTCCCACCACACACACACACTTAGACAAATAACCAGACAAATACAAAAAAACATAAATATAGAATTCCAACTTACTCTTTTGTGTTTGGTTCAAAAAAAGAAACATGTATATGAACATCAAACAAAAAAAAAAAGAGAAAAAAAATATGACACAAATCTGTCCCATAATTTGAATACCAATCATCCAGATTAAGTAGGTTAAGCCTGTTTGTTTTTCCCCGTATATATACATACACCCATTAAACCCCAACCACCAGCATCATCATGATCCCCCCGGAAACCCAACCCAAAACAAAAAAAAACGAAAACCGCCGCTCCACATCAATAAACCGATATTAAAACGAGAACAAGACCGCGGAAAAAAAAAAGGGAAAGGAGGAGAAAGTGTTGTCTGTTGAAAGAACAAGAAGTAGAAGACGGACCAAATAGATGATGATTTTCCGATCCTGAGGGTCTCTCATAAGATACTCCTTCTCGATAAGTTTCTCGATCGATGTCTTGATGACGACGGGGGTCGGTTTGAAGCGTCTGCTAAGTTGGCTGACCACTTCGACATTCAGCTCGACGTACGCGAGTCTCTGTCTCGTCTTCATCACTCTGACAATACAAGCCTATGTATGTGGTAATAGACAAGAAGCAAATACGCCATTCAACTTTCAAATCTTTTGTGATGAAGGATGAGGGGGGAGGGGCACAAACCTCGGTGTGAAGTCGTCGGTCTTCTTCGACCCGGTCGCTAGTCTCCTTGAGCTCGAGCCTGTTCTCGACCTTATTGGTGACCGTCTGGATCTTGATCCTACTCATCGGGTTCGTGAACCCATCGTTGAACCGGAACCTGTCGAGCTTCTCGTTGATCTCCTTGGAGCGTGGCTCCTTGGTGAGGATCTTATATTTCGCACAGGCTAACGATTGCAGCGTCCGTTTCAGCTCCATATCTGTGATCATCGTCGCCGTCTTGATCTCCTAGATATTCCCATCCATCCATCCAACAAAAAAAAAACCAAACATACATCAGCTTGAGAGTCACTGCATTTATCGGTCGATTATCAAAATAATCATTTGATGGAGGTGGGAGGCACTCACTTCATAACTCAATTTCCGATTCTCATCCTGGCCATCAAAGAGCAAGAGAACGATGCCAGCAAAAGTAGAGACGGAGAGTTCATGTGTAGATTTCTTGAACCTGATCTTGATCTCCATGTTACCCAATTCGGTGTGCCAATTGAGCCGTCTACCAGAATGGCGGGTAGCGTAGAAACGTTCGTAGACCTTGATAGCATCCTCGAGCACCTTGGGGATAATGCAAGCCGACCGGTTCCCCGGAGTGCCCGACGAGGAAGAGCCACCCGTCGACGGATGGTAGTTCATCTGGTTGGCTTGAGACATCGGCCACATCGACGAGGATCCCACGGTCACCGACAGATCCAGTTGAATTCCCTGTGTGATACCCCACATGATTTTATTTCTTAGTTAACTCATCGTCTTGCAAAGAAAGAAAAACGCATGGCACTAACTGGATGGTTCTTCTGACACCAATCCTTGAAAAGCTTGGCCATCTCGTTCGACATCTTCAAATCTTTCAACATCCCCTCCGAGTCTCGAGTGAACGCACTACCCGACTCGATCTTCAACTTACTCAACATGTTTCGCTCGGTATCTTCTGAGACCGATTTGCCGAATAATAACCGCTTGGCTAAATGGTTCTTGTAGTATTTCTCAAACATGTCCTTCTCATTTAAATGTCTATATAATGCAATCGTCTTGTCCAGTTGTTCTTCAATCTCTTCTTCAGTCTTCTACTCGGAATAAATATGTATCAAAAAAAAAAGAGAAAGAGGTCAATCAATCAATCAGTCACAGTATGTTTATTATGAAGAAGAGGACGAACTCCTTTAAGGCCTTTCTTGAGTTTATCATCGATAAACAAGCTGATAAATTCGGCGGAGCGTTTATTAGAGTTGATGAACCCGCTGAAGCCTTCGTCGATGCAAGTTTGGAGGAGGATGTGAGAGTCAAAGCTGTCGTTGAGGAGGCCGATGAATTTGTCGCGGAGCTGGATGACATTAGTGACCCATTGGAGAGCGGCACTGTTCCCAGGAGCGGCACCGGTAGAGGCAGTCTCGGTACTTGGATTGGCACTCGTTGCTGGACCGCCTCCAGCTTGTGAGAACAAGGCCGGTGGGGCAGTGCCATCGTTGATCTGCTGGCCACGCTCCTTGATCCAATCTCGAATGCCTTCTTTCAAGAGCTGAAGTCCATCATCAACGTCCAGGCGACAGAACAACTGGTAGAGCCGCTTCAGATCACTTCGACAGTCGTTGTGAATCAGTTCCTTCAAGCCGCATGAGGGGTGATGGAGGATATCTTGGACGTGTGACTTGATGAGCTCTTCATTCAAGATTTGTGTTAGCTTCTTTTCCGTTGTTTCATGGAGATAGGATTGTGATCGAATATCTTCTTCGATCAGCCGCTTTTCGACCTTGGTTAAAAAAGTGAGTGTTTGGGTGGAAAAAGATGGCAATGTCAATTTTAAGGAAAAACAGAAAGATGAGTGTGAAGATGTGAAAGGCAGATTACCTTGAGGAGATACTGGGCAGCATTATCATTGCTTAACAATCGGTTGCCCTCCTCACGATAGAATTCGCGACTATGTAGGAGGAAGACGGGCTCGAAGTCGGTCTTATAGATACTCTGTCCGACCTCACCCCCGCCGTTACCGCCGTTCTGATCATCGATCCGTTTGATGATCTCAGGGGAATGATTTGAGAGGTCGGTGAGCATCTCAGTTGCTGAGCGGATGACGGATGAGTTGATGGTATCGCCCAGTCGGTCGGAGGTGATGAGGGTGATGATCCCACTGATCAGGAGTGACGAGATCGGGTATTTCGGTGATCGGATGATGTGGGTGAGGAAGATGTAGAGGCCTAGGTCCCAGACCGTCGGCATTGAATCATATCCATTTCCAGGGGTAGTCGTATAAACTTTATCCTGTAAGAACAAGGGTAGAAATCAGGATTATGATTCGAACGATTTCTTCCAAAAAAGAGGGGAGTAGGAGACATACCATGTACTTGAGTACATCACGTAGCTTTTTCATGCATGCTACATGATCATCCCAGACTTCACGGACGGACTTCAAGAAACGCTCTTGGGATTGGATGACGCTCAGTCTTTCAGAAGCAGAACCATTGACGAGGGGGAGCTGATGAGCCGTTTGGTTTGATGACGATGATGGTGGTGATAGATCCGAGTCATCGACAGCTTTCTCCTTGCCCTTTCCGGTGGTTGTGGTTGTGGTTGTGGTTGGTAGTGTTTGAGATAATAGGTTTGTTGTGGGGTTGGTTCGTGAGGGGAAGTTTGGCTCGATCTGCCTGGTGGCTTGTTCGTCCAAATGGTGTGCTACCAGGTCACGAACCCCAACGAATAGTTTTGTGCCCTGCTTGTAGAGTACCATGTTGTAGGCATATCGATAGCTGTTTTGCAAGATGGGAATTTTTAGAAAAGATTCTTCTCAGTTGATGATGATGATGATGATGATGATGACTCAACTGTTCTTCGAATGATAGTTTGGATGCATTGTGGTTGAGGATCTCGGTGATTGCCTTTGATAGCCTTGACCAGGTGTCGATGGCTGGTTCACCGTGTCGTTTGGTTGGTTTGACTTTCGATGATCGGTTGGTGGTGTTGTGTTGGATGGTTTGATGGGGCAAGTTTCGTTTGTTGGACGATGACATCATATTATTCTTTTTTTTTGGAGTTGGTTTTGTTGGTTCTTGGTGGTTGTTGGTGGTTATCGGCCAGTTCTTGTTGCTGTTGAAGTCAGACTCAGACTCAAAGGGGCTACATACTCTCAAGCCCACTCAGTCAGAATCACACAATGGATGGTCAACCAACAAACCACACAACAACCACCTGCAATCACATTCATCATCAGCTTCCTCCAGTTGCTTCAATTATCACGCCATTAGTCTATTAGAATGAAGAAATCCCTTCATCATGATCAACTTATTTGAAGGCCAAAGATGCCAGGTTGAACTAATAAGGTGTTATCAACAAAAAAGAGTTAAACATGTTTGTCATTCTTGATTATTATAACAACAACAACAACATCATCATCATCATCCAATGTGAATTATCAGAGGATGTATTGTACTTTTGATTGAAGAGGAGATAACAAAAAGAGAAGAGGAAACAAAACCAAACAAGTGTAGAAATGAAGATATAGAATCAAGTTAATTAAGGAGATCCATGCCAAGCCAAAGCCAAAAATCAAAACAAAGACCACACTACATATTTACAAACATTTATATACATTTTTATCCTAGTAATCAACTTCTCACACAACGATTCTATATATTGTATCAACGATCCCCATCACCCCTTCTTTCTATTTATGTTGATATGCTTCACATGGATTTTAAAAGTATTTTTTGTTTTGAAAAAAAGAGCGGGAAAAGACGAGGACAGACGGACGAAAGAACAAAAAGAAGAAGAAGCAGAAAATTCATGAGACCGACAGAAATTTAGACGCGAGATTATAAAAATGAAGAAAGCTCGTTAGAAGATTAACTAAAAAAAAATGAAGACGAGGTCACGAGAACGGAAATAACGAACATAGAAAAAGCGTAGAAAAAAAAAAAGAGAGAGAGGATGACGAGAAGAAGGAAATGTGAATTGTTATGAGGAAGATATAAGAGGAAAGCAAGAGATCATTTAGAAAACAAGACTTCTTCACGTTTCTCAGCCTTGATCGAGTCAAGCCATTTAGAGGCCATATAAACCAACGCCAGATCCCAACCGTCGGACTTTTTAGCGATCATCTTAGGATCAAACTTGACGATAGATCCAGAATCATGACTACTACTACTACTATTATTATTGGTATTGGTAGCGGTGATAATAGTCGGATTGGGGGGACTGGTTGGGTCCTGTGGTTGGCTGTTGGGCGGGGTGCTTTGGTCGAATGGCTTCGTCTTCGGCAGCGGGATCTCGCCTTTGATTAAGTATCGTAATTTCAATGCCCTAGAAAATTCGAAACAAAAATCACAATATGATCAGATAAAACTACATTGAACGGGATGAGATGAATTCAAATTTTATTAAGAAAAAAAAAAAGACTAACGCCGCCCAAACCTTAATATTCTCCATCCTCCGAAACGTGAGGCCGACCTTGAGATGGTTAGGGTTAGATTGAGTGGCGGTGTGAGAAGAAGAGGCGACAGAATCGCCGGAGATGGAGGGAGAGAAGGGGGTCGAAAAGGATGAATCCGAGCCGGTATGGGTAGGGAATCGGGAATGGACGCCGAAGGAGCCCGGGCTCCTGAGACGGTCCTCCCCATCCATCGACTCCTGCTCGTCGATCGCGCCCATGCTCGACTTGCTTAACGACCGCTCACTACCCATCTCCGGCGACATCACCATCGACGTACTTCCTCCCCCTCCACTACTCCCCTTCCCGCCCGTCAGCGTCACTAGGTTGTGGATACTCTCGACCGGGATGAACCCCCACGGTCGCTGCGACTTTCGGAGGACTGTGTTGTATGCCAAACATAGTAATGTTCCATCTCTTTTGATTTGTTTTGTTTTGTCATGTTTTTTTTTTTGCCAAGAGGCCGATCATCAATCTCTCTGTCTTGTTTTGATGAGTGACCAGACTTGATTACTCACGACAGGGAGTCCAGGAAGCCGATTCTCGATCCAAATTCCCCATGAGGCGGGACAAGATGCGAGAGGAGTTCATGGGGCAGATGACTAACTAGACAGCTAAACAATCTCCCAAGTGGATCGTTCTCCAGGCCATCGATCGGATTACCCTGATCATCGGTTCTGCTAGACTTGATTAGGAAGCGATCGTTGCGGGCCCAATCGGGCAATAACTCCTCGCTATCCTCTTCATCTTCCATCTCTGAGTAACTCTCATCCTCCGTCATCGTCCCATCATCTAGTGAGATATCCGGCACTTTCATCTCGGCATTATTGCTTGTCGAGAATTTGGATGAGTTGATGATCTTCTTGAACACGTTTCGATCTTTGACGATTCCCGATTTCTTCTTCATGTTCGTCGGCTGATTTTTGACACCCAGATGGCTCTTCTTCCTTCGACTTCCAGTGATGATCTTCATTCCCTCCAGGATCCCGTCCACACATTCTAGCCACTCTTTGACGACCAGTGCCTCTTTACGCACTTCTTCCAGACTGACATCCTGTCGGTACTCCCAGCTCATACTAGGTAGAATCAGTGAGCCTTCTGAATTATCTTCGTCCTGCTCTACTATCTTTGTCTCAGCCAGGCTGTGTTGTTGAGGGGGACTGGTTCTCTGATGCTGATCGGAGGATTGAAAGATCGAAAACTCTTGGTTATCCATCGGTGTTGCTGAACCAGGAATCCTGAATTTGTGCTCGATATCCTTCAAGCATGTCAACACTTCCAAGGACATCTTTCTTAGGATTGCCAATGGATCATCCTTAGCGGTTTGAGTTTGCGAGTTTGCGTAGGACATCATCGGCCCAGAGACGGCCCGTTTTTTGAAGAGTGCGAATGGATCGAAACCGGTGGCAGAGCGACGAGAGATGAGCGCGGGTGGTTCATTGCGAGAGGGGGAAGATGCACGTTGAGATGAGCCAAGGAAGGTGGAACGGGAGATCCGAGGACGGGCGGCGGTTGAGAGTTCGAGATGAGACATTCGACGTTGAAGGTCGCCACCGAGGTTGGAGATGTTGGCAGGGCTGAAGATGTCAGGATCGGGGATGGTGAGAATGAACTTTTGGACGGAGCGGACGGCACGGGTGGTGAGTGAGATGAGGTTGATGATAAAGCCTTCGTTATGGTGATGGTGATCGGCTGTGAAGGATGAGAAGTGAGCCAGTTGTAGGTTTTGCAGGCCGGGTGAGGAGGGCGGGATGGATTGACTGAGTTCATCATCGCCCGAACGGTTCGAGGCTACTGAGGGAGCTCTGGTTGCGGCCAGTTGGACGAGACCCCAAGATTCACAAACTTGATCCAACTGGGCCATGACCTCCTGTCGGGCCGATTCGAGGTCGGTAAGATTGGGTAGTGCTCTTCCCGCTGGGAATTGTGGTTGGCTGGGCTTGGGCGGCGGTGGTGCGGGTTCGGGAGGCAAGTTCTGGAGTACCTCCTCATCTTCCTCCGACAGCTGATTTGGGTCACGACCGGGTACGGCAAGGATCATATTCCTGTGGCTAGCAGACCTGGGAGGGCATGAAAGTCAATCAGTACATGACGACTAGAGACTACACCCCCGGTGAAACAAATGACTGCTCTACCTGTTCTTTGTAGCCAATCCGTTCCTGACGAAGTAGTGCTGAAGATGTGCGATCGATCCTAGGGCCATGACGGATTCTCTCTTGGCGGCGGAACTGGAGAACTGGCGAGGGTTGAGTGGAGTGTAGTATGGCATCCTGAGTCGCTGGGGCGGATCTGATGTTTGGTTTTCCATTGCTGATGAACTCGGTGCCTGTTCTGCTACTACTGATACTGCTGGTGGTGAAGTAGAAGGAAAGGGTAATAGTTTGTTGGCCATTGTGGCTGAGTGGTGGTGGTGGTGTGCGGAGTAAATAATATATATTTTTTAGGTTTTTTAAGGTTTGTGTGCTTCTTCGCCAGTTCACAGCAACAGGCTTCAGCAGCAGTGCAGATTCAAGAAGGAAACCGAACCTCAACTGAAAGTGAAACTCTCTCGACTGTCAAGACCACCAACCCACACTCGACCTGTTTATGTAAACACACTTGGCTTCAGCAACCCCAGATTAGCATTTCAATGAACAAGCACTTGTTTTGCCCAGCTCTTGGAAGACTATATGAACATGAGACCCCTCTTGTGGCAGATCAAGGAGCTTGGCAAACTGGGGGCTGTAGATTGAGAAAAAAAAAACCATCCAGTTTGTGGCTGTAGCTGTAAATTGACACCATGAGTTCAAAGTGCCCAAATTCACGTATATTTCCAGTTTAGGAGAGTAGCATAGACCCACTCAAAACTCCCCTATTCAGTGAAACATGGAGGAAAGAATTCATAAATGAAAATTTGGCAAATTTCAGATCACACTCTCACCAAAGTGCTAAAAGAGACTGGTTTCACTTGTTGAGGGCCCAACATTCAAGACATGAATGGCTAGTGCCAGATCAAATCATCAATCCATCAATTTAATTTTCAGTCATGAAACAAAATCAAAGAATGATCCAGTTCAAAAACATTGAGCTCTAGTGAGATACTTGACAATCATATTGCACTATAAATAAGCATTGAATGAATATTTAGATACAGGCAAGAATCATCTTTCAACACAATGAATGCAGCAAAGTCAAGTAGAGAAATAAGAATGATAATATGATTGATGAGGTCAAGAGTTTGCTGAGAAATGAGACCCAGACTTATAACAAGGGTTTTTGATACCACAAATTTTGATTCAGAGAAGGAACATAAACAAGCAAACACCTGTTCATATTCCCTCATTTATATCATGACTAGATGACACATATTTTTTTTTTCAAACATTTTCCTGGATTTAGTACCTGTTCTTTTCCTCATGAATCAGCTTGATGAGCTTGTGATCGTTAAGATTGTAAGGGGGTGGCTGAAAACGAGGAGCGCTTGGCTCAGTAACATTCATACCCACACCAGTATTGGTAGTGGGAGGGGTGGACATTGGATAAGAATGATAGGTTCCGGGACTTGGATCGGTTGAAGGAGGCGACAGACGCATATCTTTAGGCTACAAGATCAAGCAATCAACAAACAGAAACAATTTGCTTCAGTATATTAATTGTAACGATACTGTAATAGGACAACAACTAGAACTAACTGGGGTTACTAAAGCTACTAAGGAAGTTCTACTATTGGCAAATGAAGTTTGAGTGAGAAAGGGAAAGGCACTTGAGGATGATCTCACCTTTATATTGAAGGAAGAGATAGCCTGTACTTTCATCTTACCACGACCACGTTGGTTTGGATGCCCACCACCAGCTTGATGATAGGATAAAACGGACCTAAAACCAACCAGGGCAAACAGAAAAGAGGGACCTGAGGCTTTTTTGGGAACCAAGTGCCAGCAACAGGCATCTAGACTTGACACGGATCCACGGTTAGCGTAGTTCTTCAACCAGCCAGTGGTGGAAATTTGAGCAAACATCATGACACGATAGGTGGAACCCAAGGAAGTAACAAATGTTGGATGAGACAGGGGATGAGAAACTGAAGTTCACAGGCTAAAAGTCTTGTGACACTTCTGAGTGAGAATACTAATGGTTTTGATTCACTAAGGAGGGAAACTCTAGAGACAACTGAGTGTAGACTAAATACACGGTTGTTTGTGTTATGGTAGAAGCATACTATATACAGGATATAAGCATATTCCAACAACAAAGGACCGGCCTCAGCGACGGCGTTTAGTGGGAGGAAGAAACTTAGGCTGGAAGATCATATTGGGTCTCTTTCCAAGCAACAGACAGAACCAAGTCTTCAGTCCAACTACGTACTACGCTAAGGATCACGAACAAAAAGAGAAGAAAAACAAATTACTCACTGTTTTTTCGACCGAGGATCTTGACGGTCGATCCGATTCGAAGTTTGGGAGATGTTGGAAGTTGTTTTCGTGAGGGATGTAGTGGTGCCGGTTGCCTGGTATGTACTCAGACATATCCAGGGCTGCGTCACTTGAAACCCGGTCCGGAACGGCGCACACGACTTGGAGCAGGGAGCACAGGGCGCACGGGGATCAGGACCGGTACCAGAAACCCCGAACCCCCAATTCTGAACTCAAGCGCGACCCCTAAGGATTAAGTAAGCTGCTGCGTACACTATGACTAATCAACGTCACCTACTGCGGACTGCGGACTGCGCACTGCACATCCACTCTCTCAAAAAAAAAACCAAATAACCCCCCTTTATAAATTACCAAGGTAAGGGGGGGGTCTTTTGTGGCCCATTTTTTTAGTAAGAAAACTGAAAACACCAGAATCAAAGGTGGAAGTAAGAACTTGCTCCTGTAAATTTATACAATACAATGGAAAACTCAACACGGCTAATCCCACGGCACCCTGGTGGGGATTTTTGGCGGAATTGTCTGGGGACAGACAATAAGTTAGGGGAGGATGTGGTATACCTTAAGGGTAGCCAATTACATACCTTTTTACACCTTTTTGCTCATGCATAAACTCACAAGTCACACAATATGGCTCAAGAACTGGATTCTATGGTCAATTTCACCCTTGGTCACCACTGGAGGCGTCACTGGAACTCAACTGGATTGGAAGCTACACTCTCTGGACCATCACTACACTCAATTACACAACTCACCACCATGGCAACACTTCAACACTCAACAACCTCAACAAATTACATAATTCACACTACACACATGCACGTTGCAGGACAACCACATCATCACACCATTATAGTACAGGTATACATACAACTACACTATCTTCTGACACTTGACATATGTAGCTTCTAGGCTGGTCCTGTTGCTATGTCACTTGTTAATCTTCCTTGAAGCTTTCAGACTATCTCACACCACTCATGTAATATTCATCACCTCACCTTAGCTTGCAGACTAGTACATCACCTCATGTAAAATGCTACACCAGCATAAAACCCTCATGTAGACTTCTAGTTCAAGCTAAAATAACTCTTATGACATCATGTAGGTTGCTCAACCAGCCAAAATACCTCATGTACATTGTCAGACACTGAGGCTGTAGCCCATGTGTCTACAACGGGGGTTGATAAACGCACGCCCAACCCCCATGGCGCACACCAATCTGCACGCCAGCTGCAGATTGGCGTGTGCCCCC